TCGCCTTCCTTGGCTGATCGTAGCTATTACCGCCCCTCCTCGGTTGCGCAACATTTGTCAGAACTATGTGTGTAATCGGTTTGCACGACCAGAAACGCCATTCGATAATCCGGCGGGAGCCATACACACTAGCTCTCCATGGATTTCGAATGGTTTTTATGAAACTAGCCTCATGGAGGATCTCTTTTGAAAGACCAAAGTTTTCTATGCCGCGAACACGGCGGAACCAGCCACAATCAATGTTCCACGCATTTTTGTAGACTCTTAAGAGAGCCACTCTCTCATTGCATTTGTAATTGACGCAAGTAGACTGCTCTATCCCTACAGAGTCAATTATCAGAAAATTTCTTCATTATTGCGTGGGGCATACAGAAATCTCATGTTTTTACTTCTTCGCGGCGCTCCCCATCCACGCGGTTGTGATGGCATGTTGTCTTACCTTGCTTCTTTATGACATCTGTCGATGCCTTGATAGAGTCGTCAGTTTGTACCGACTGCTGGTACAGACTGATGACCCCATTGTTCAAAAGAACATTTTAGACTCAAAGGTCTATCCATTGAGAATCAGTAATTTGTTCGAGGTGAACCATCTTGCTTCGTGATGGAGATTCCGCGAAATGGAGTACAACACCGCCACTGAAGTACAAGAGAGGGAGCGACTCACATGTGTGTGAACGGATTGAGATTCGAGACAATATGGTTCTTTGTCAAGACAACTTAGAAGTCTGTCTTTCCTCTATACCATCTAGGTATATTGAAGTCATCAATTTTCTAGGTCATCTTTACTGAGAACCATGTTGTCTGAAACACAACTTTGCTGAAGAGGTATACTCTCACAGTAAAGAATCGGATCCTAACTTTATCCGCCTCTGTCGTACATATAAAAGCAACCAACAACCAACCCATAAGTAGCAGAGGAACATCCAGTGAGTGCTGCCGATGGCCTACGGTCCTACGCCCAGTCATGCATGCATCAGAGATCCACCATATACCCTCGATAACAAGTATAGGTGAGATCATGGTGTCCAGCGATCTATTACGTAGAGTATTTGATGAACTAAATGTGTAAAGTCAGTACGCGCTCGTTGCGGTTGGAGGAAAAAAGTGGTTCGCGAGTCGGGTTGAAAAGCTGGCAGAGAGCGAAAAGCATCATCGTGTCTTGATTGTCTCATAGATGATAATACATCAAGCTGATACATGAATATTCGGGAATATCCGGTGATTGATTGTACTCAATGGATTTTGACTTACTCATGGGTGTTTGTCCAGCGACCCTAAGGAATTGTATCTTTCTCGTCTTCAAAAATGTAAGCTGTTAGCTACCTGGAACACCTTCAAACCCCAGTAATGACTGCCGTCGCTATTCTCAAGCAAGGCTTTAAGACAATTTTCACAGTCCAAGCCAAGTGGCAAGAGCAGAATTTGAAAGTACGAAAGGATGAATTGGAAGAAGGGAAGACTTTCACATGCTTTGTTTGCTTAGAGGACTGAATAAGACTTTCAGCGCGCACTCTCTATTGTTTGAGATATCGCGTGGAGATTTCGAAGAAGTTCCTTTCCAAATGCGGAGGATTGCAAGTTGATTATGAGCAGCACGAAAGATTGATAGGTTACGGATTATCATTCATCTCATTGTGGCCTTAACTTTAATCCTTGTTTCTAAATCACGCTAGAAGGCTCAGAAATACTTTGAAATTTTGAGGTTGCCTCGGGAAACAAAATTTAGGGTTGTGGCCGCTCTTCAAGAGGTGGTGTATCACATGGCATTCTGCCAAATCTCCAGCATAATATTTGTGACTAGCATCCCAAGGCCATTCTTTCAACTCTCTTAACTGGCTGAACCAGGATATCTTACTCAATTCCCATCCAGAGCACATTTTTTGGATGAAAATGGCCTGGAGCAAAACACAGAACCTCTCCTAAACATAAAGGAAATCACATGACCAGTGTACACAAACCTACAATTAATAAGAAAGAGGGCTTGAATCAACAGAGACTTTCATTCACTGATTGCTCTTCTTCGTGTGTTAATCTGGAAGACTTGTGTTTTTTCTCGTCATTGTAGTTGACGAGGGGCTCGGGCGGTGAGGAAACAATCAAAAGCTGCGAGCAAGCAAGCAGTTCGAGAAAGTGAATAACATGAGCATGTCTCTCAAAGTTGAAGACGATCATGTCATCGCCATTGTCAAGGTGAATTGCAGACATGGTCCCAAATTAGGTCTAACCTCGGGTTTGAGAAGTTAAGATTTAAGACAGCAGTCCGAGCACTAAAATAGATGAATACCAGCTCATACTATCACAGATTCTTACCACCAAAACTTGTTGATATTAATCTTGTATAGCTAGATATATGATTGTGAAGTTGCAAGCAATCAGCAAATTCTGGTTAGTATTCACACTTGCACTCCTAGCATTACAAATGCAGGTGGATGATGCAACCATCTCAGTATATGTATAAAGATAAAGTTAATTATGTGTCTGAAGTTAGAGGTTGCCTAGGTGATCAGCTACTTAAGTGCCATATTCACTTTCTCATCTGACAAGCGGCAACTAGTGGACGATGGTCTAGAGATTTATCCCTGCCCCCTGTGCAGACGTGCAACAAAACCGTATATTCAGTCTTGATCAGGAAAAGACAAAACCTTATTGACCCTTGTCTTGGTTTGCGACTTGCAACAAAGCAGACTTATTAGTTAGATAATGCTGAAGGCAAGGAAGGAATATTGTATTATACTTTGAGCTAGTGAACTTTATCCCAGACCTCTTTCTGAGCTTGCGGCATGTAACGTAGCTAAGGTCTTGTTGTTTGATTGGAGAACAGGAGGTTTAAATAGATCCAGTGATCTTACTGAGTAGAAGGGGGTTGAGATTATTGAGTTTGGAGCTAGTAGAATTTCTTCAGATCCCTACCCAGGATTCGATATGCAACAAAAGGGTTTTTTATTTAACTACTGGATTCGGAGAACTCTCTCCGGCCATTTACCCCTGTAAATGAACCTCATAGGCATCTTGACTTCATCTTTTAATCCTAGGAATATCATTTTAGGGACCCCTGCTTAGGCTTGAGATATGCAACAATACTACCTTGATCTCTTTGATTGGAAGAAGTTTGACTTCCCAGACCCCTGTATAGAAGTCCTAGCAACAACTTCCTTTCCTGGAAATCTTAGTTTGTGATGAGAAAGGAAACATGGTAGATGCATCATCGGAGTATACATCAAACGTAGTTTGCCATGGTATCTGATCTCATATTCAGCTGCAATTATAATTCCTTTCATATTCCTAGGATACTTAGAAGTTCAGGATTCTATGTTGACAACTGGAAATTAGATAAAGTATTTCCTCATCTCGTTTATTAGCGTCCAGAGATGCATATAGTCGTGATGGTTGTATAATGAAACAAAAATACCTTCAACTACTATTATGGCAGCATGACTACATTGACAATGAGCACTCAGGCCCCATAATAATTGTATCAGAGTAATGTTCCAACAGACACAAGTTATTTCTGTAATAATCAAGCCTCTTGAAAACTCAATTCAAAGATGAAAAAAGTATGCAATGTTTCCTCTTCCTCTCGGTCAACAAACAAATATAGGTAGGCCATAAAAATCTATGAAAATTTAGCCGAGGAGAAGGTGCCCGACCCTGGCTTAGATATGCAACAGCAACTTCATTCGAACAAGGACTGGGGTCAATTGGGTAGCATACTAATAATTTACTACAATCTAGAAAATAACAATGGGTAATGATAAACGAGGCCAACACCCCCTGCCCCAGCTACAGATATGCAACAATACTTCATAGATTTTCACTACCTAGTCTGCATGACGTACTGCAGAGGATGTCTGTAAGTGAGGTATGATATGGTCTATGACTGTGAGGCTATATTTCTCAAGATCATTGAGGTACATGATCACCTTTTGTGATAGGAAATTGTTTGTTTGTTTGTTTCTTGGTAATATACCTTGATGAAACTCCAACTAAGTACTGCAAATCATAGAAAAAAGCTCATCCTTCATATATGACTACAATGAAATTATGAGTTATACGTAAAGAGCTTTTGTGCAAGATCTTTGCCTGTCTAGCTAAGTAAAAAAGATATATCTACATGGCTACAGCTAGGCAGTGCACATTTATGCGTTGATTTATGCGGTAGCTTCGATGACAATAAGAGAACTTGGTACTTCATATTATAGGACGAAACAAGTATTGCTGTTGAGAAACACGCAATGCAATGTGTACCATTTTGTTTCTACTTCCTTCGAATGAATCATGACCAGGTTGTACATGCGACACATATTGCCAGCCTCCTTAGTTAGTACAGTGGATGATATACCATACCGAAGGTCTTCTACTTCAATCTAAAACGGCACGATGAAGCTTTATTGCTTAAGATATAGCGTCACAGACACAGGCGAAATGTCATAGAAATATCTGGGTAAATATCTAAATGGCATACCTTATCCGAACAGATCCACAATCCATTATATAAACTTCGCAAGTCCCGATCAAACCGTGAACCAAAGTCTCCCGTAGCTCTCTTAGCTCTCTTAGTTTCCCCATCAATAATAGAGGCCCAATCAACTGCAAATTCTCCACCACTCAGAACACTCAAGAATCTAATGTTGCAAATCTGCCGTCTCAAAATTACAAGGGGGGCCCTGACAAGCTACAATAGAGGAAAGTCTGTTGCTAGCTCTTCTGCAACTCCGGGATATCTCACTATGTTCAAAGTATCGTAGAATGTTCCTTGAAGAACTTGTTACACGTCACAAATTGATTCAAAAGAAGTTATTCGATCCATCGAAACACATTCCTTACTTCACAAACTTTGAACCCCCGTCATTACCTTCCTTTTCGAACTCTATGGTCAACTGGGCACCAACATTCCCATTGAACAGATAATACTGTCCCAAGTACTGATAATGCTTTGGATTAGGATTCAAAAATAATGGCATTGAATTTGTGTTGTCTACACTGTTTTTATCCTATGTTTGCTCTGTCATGTATGCCATCCTCTTGTTGTTAATCTCACTCTATTCCATGTCACACAGGTTTGTAAAGCAAGCCAAATCGTACACTCTTCTTAAAGATATCCCATTCGCGAATCTGATATCACCTCTCAGTCAATCAGCTTCAATAACACTGTGCTGAAATCCGTGGCAACCTCAAATTTCTACAATAGTCCTCGCGATGCAGACACCAAATCACTCGGAAATCCTGCAGAGATTTATACAAAGGTTACGGTGGTAACGATGCTCAAGTAGAGAGCATTCATTCCCAAGGGTACCATTGAATAGAAAATTCATCTATTACAGCCTCGAATAGTTCGAAGATGGGATGATCGTCCTCCAAAGGCACAATATCGAGACCCTAACAGCAGGATATTAGCAGCGACATTCATATGTTGTGTGTTGCGAGCACAAGTCAAAGAAGTCCTGATTTTCTTAGGCCCAAGAGCTTGAAGGAGCTTTTGTCCGATTCTTTGTGGTGAGAATATGCCGCTTGAAAAAGGGTGATCAGAAAAAGAAATAACTTACCGCATAATCTAATTCAATCAATTCTTTCTCAAAATCTACCGAGAACTCTGCATCATTCAACTTACCATCTAAATTATCCTCTTTAACTTTCTCATTCTTCGATTTTCCACGAATAAGCAGAATTTTAGTACCTTCCATAACCAAATGTCGCTGTACTAAGGGTGTCCACAACAAACCCCTAAATTCCTCTTGCACCCATTTCCAATAAAGAAGCGGTTTATCAATATCTGTACCAGATGCTTTTGGGCTCTTGACCCAGCATATGAATGATCCTTGTACGCGAACGCCGAGACTCGAAAGGGATTTAGAACCTTTACCCCGTGAAGCACTTGCAATGTGATATGCGAGATGAGACCCCTCACCGTTGTCTACAATTGCGTAGATACCATCTGCAGTAGCTATTCGGTCTGGGTTTTCGGTCACGCTAATTGATCTGCTTGTCAGTCGTGCTCTTTTTATTCCCAAACTCAAAATTTGATGTCAGGCAAGTTGCGGGAACAAGAATTGGAGAACACAAATTGATTCAGGATTTGTACAGGTTGCTCCTCGCGGCCAGCTTGAAGAGGTGAAATAGTGGTGAAGGAAAAAGAAAACTAACAAGACATACGTAGACATATATTCTTCCAACTCATCCATTGTAAGCATCCGCTTTTCCACAACGCACATGACTTTATCGCCCTTATTTTTTGGCCACCGTTTTTCCACCAAAGTCAGCAAAGGTCCTTCGTAATCACCGAGTGTTGGATTCTCGCCGATCCCACAATCAAGATAAGGAAGTGGTCGCAACGCAAAATGTGCTAGGTCCTTCTTTCCTTCAACTCTCCAAAAATGTAATATTCCCCTTTTGACAATAGAGTCATTTCCAATTATTGTTTCTTTAATCCATTCCTCATATGGCTGACCAACATCAGGGGTCGTTATATCACAAGAACCGTCGTAGTAGTTTTCTGCTTCTTGGTCGTCGGTTCTATCTTGCTCTGGACAGACTAAAACGATAATTTCGGTTCGAGTTAGTTTGATTGTTGAGGCTATTTTATATGAATCGAACTGCTCCCAATGACAAAAATTGACAGCAGAAGAGCTAATGTTACAATGTCTCCGTCGTTCTTCTATAACTCCATACTGCCGTCTAGGAGTTTGGGGGCTCGATGGGAGTGAACGAACTTACCAACGAGGTTTCTCATTTCTATTAAAACAAGTATCCATCCCGTTTAAACTACCTTCATGACTCCGATCAGCATTTGAATGCGTTCTATCGTCAATATCGTCGGTCGATCAAGGATTGTTGCTGCACGCTGCAACGCCATCTTGCATGCGAAGTTCGAAATCCTCAGGTTGAGCTTTTCTCTTCTTTCGAGGGTGACTTTCCGATTCTGAAGTGTCTGCTGAGGTCTCCCTCAGGAACTCTCTTTTCACTGTTGAATAATCGACGTCATGTCCGAGGATATCTGCCCGTAATGAATGATCGCTTCCCGCTTTCGGCTCCTGGCGATCGTCCATCTTTATTCTCGCTCAAAAGTCTGTATTCATTCTTGAGCCTCTCGTAATTCTGACAGTCTTCGTTCTTCTCATTCTTGGCATATGAGACGATCTCGTACCACTATTCTTTTTGATGTCGAAATTCGCTCGTTTTTTAGAATTATTGGGATGTCTTTGTGTACTTCAATCATGAGAACATAATTTATTGATTGTGTTGTGCCTCTTCTCTTCACTCCTTCCTAGAAGCGTTGGCTGTAATTCGCTCCTGAATTGAGATATTTGATCATCAGTGACCTGTCAATTGCGACTGCCATTCTGGTCTCGTCGAAAGACTTCACACTTGCATTTAAGCCAAATAAACATAGATACATTGTTTAATAGATAATAACTTGTAGGCGTAATTAATAGGATTGGAGAGGTAAATTTCTTAGGGATTGGTGGACGTAGTCGAGACCTGGCTGTGGCTTCCAATGGCCCCGTTTGATAGGGGGAACTCCTGTGATTGAAAAGACGTGTGAACTCGCAAATTCTCAACTTGGAAGCATGCAGCCTTTTTGTTGTTTCAAAGCGACTTCTATTAGTGGAAATGCATTGAGACACTCAAAGTGGTCATTGACTACTTTCATTGGCAATAAAAGTAATTGAACATTGCAGCAATGCAACACAGAGTTTGTAGAACCTCAAGTTCTAACATCTTCATCATTCCCATCTACCAAGGCTTCTCTCCTCCATCATATATATGCAAAGTCAACCTTGACCTCCTCAAATAACTCTAAACATATTACTCTTCACACCCCTCCCAAATCCGTCTGTCACCGGCTTTCCCCCTTCGTATGAAACTCCAGCTGCACCCTCTCTTCCTTCCATCTTTGCCCTTAGCTCTTCATCCATTTCTGCGATTGTCTTCCTCTTCTTCTCGGGCTTCTCCCCACTGTTTCCATCTGCTTTCTCTCTCGTCACTTCAGTTGACCTCTCAATCTTTTGCCCCTCCGCAGCCTTCACTGCCATTTTCACTGCCATTCTTCCCTTTGTAACCACTTCCGAGTTGGACTCTGAGTTTACATCATTATGATGTTCTCTGGATATAGAAGTCGAAGCCAAAGTGCTACGGATTGGCGACTTCACGTGCATTGAACCCTTAGTCAGGAAAATTGGTGAACGTGAGATCGGTGTCGCACCACTGATGATTTTTCTAGCGAACATGATGATATGATGATTCTCGAGGAGTAGAACAAGAAGATATTTACGTGAGCTTCTTGATTGAGGTAAATCAGAATATGCAGTTCTTGAGAGTTATCATTGACGCAGGTTTCTTGCGCTGCCAAATAATTACATCATCGCTTACGCGTGACTGCCACGTGATCAGCTGACATCTTCGCCTCCTTAATATTTCTCTCCTCACGACTTTGCTGCAATGGACAAATTGATTCGTGAATTGTTTCAGCCAAGCTATTCGACCCTGTCAACAACATCTAGTTATATTTTTTGAATTGTAAAATACCAAATGCATGACCTCAACAGACCAAATTACTCCCGAAGTAATGGTGGGTGGAACCAATGATGGCCCACAGGTTAACATCCTATCATACAGCAATTTCACCCTACCTAGGACATAACACAACTAGATGACAAACCTAGAGCATGGATTATTGATACTTCTACTTGAAAGTACAATACATAAGATTTGTGATACTTTATGTATGATGTAATCGACGAGTATATATAATCCGACTCCAATCCCATCTGGAAACTCCGTCCGCTATGGTATCTACCGTTTAATATGCAAGACCAGATTAAACTCCGAACCGAATTATCATGAAAAAAGATCCAGTTGACCCTACCCCAACCCTATCTCCCAAAACGCCCCCCATTTAATTCAGCTCCTCTCACGCCATCTCATCCTCCTCTCCCGCTTCATCGACCTCCTCCCCACTCCCCTCAATACTTTCCATCAAGCTCTCTTCCCCACTGACTCCACTCACGTCACTAACCGCATATCCATAACCATCTGCAAACCCCTCTTCCCTTACACACTTCTCCAAACTCAATCCTTCTTTCTCTACCCACTTGCGGATTTTTTCTTTATCTACTTTGACTTTATATTTCTTCCCCGCTTTCTCAATTCTTCCTCCTAGTGTACTTGCAGTCGTCTTTCCAGATTTCTCTCTGTTTGAGCCACCGACTGTTTCAAGTACACCCATTGATCTGACAACGCCAAGAACATCGTCTACTGCTATCCATGTGCCTTTACTAATAGCTTCCACGGTAGTTGCGCCGCAGGTATCTTCCATGGGCGGTGTTACGGGTAATTTTGGCGCTGATTTTGTTGCTTTAGGTGTTAGTTTAGGTGCTGGTCCTGGATTTTCCTTCGACTGAGAGGACAGTTGAGAAAGAGTTTGAGGTTGCATGCCCACACCCTTCATACCCTTTCTCCAGCCCTTTCCCATTCCCTTCCCCGATGGTTTCTTCGCCGGTGGTTTCTTTTCCACTCTAATCACCTCGACATCAAGCTCTTCTTCCTCATCCACTACCTCGTCCTCTCCAATTAAATTATTTACACCAACTTCACATTCCAACAACCACCTCGCTACCTCTGCCCCCCAAAATCTCCCATACCCCTTCTTTCCCAACTCACTAATTGGTTTTTCCGGTCCTCCAAGTAGTCCTTCTCTCCTACTAATTTCATAACTCGTGCCTATCAAAATACTTCCCAATCCCTTCTTTTGCCATGGAGGGAAAACAAGAATACAGGCTAGATTATTATTATCCCATGACATCTTTTCTTTTGAGAAGAACCCTACGATTTGTTGTTCTTTTGTACCGGAATTGGTATGAACGAGAAGGAAATAATTAAACGACTGCACATCGTAGAGGACGGATTTGTTGTCCAGGAATAGTTTGGCGAAGAGAGACAGGGACTGCGAGAATGTCTTTGCGGTGATATTAGTAGGAGTTTTTCGAATGATGTCGGTATAGAAGTGCAATCAAGACAACCAGAAGGAAGAGAAGAAAACTTACACCCTCAACCTCTCCATCCACTTCCCAAACACTCCATTCCCCGTTTTCATCATGTTCATAAACACAGTTTCCAGGCACTCTTCCTTTGCGCTCACAACATTCTCTATGTTTCGCCATTTCTCCCCCATGGACTGTATATCCAAAGCACCAATTGCAGACAAACAATCTATCAACCTGCAAGCCCTTTGGTCCTCTCGAATCTCTGTCTCCCCCTTTCCCACTCTTACCACTCTTGCCGCTCTTACCACTCTTGCTGCTTTTTCCACTTCCTTGACTAACACTTTGAGAATGGTTTTCTATCATCCCATTTCCGATGACATCGCGGGTATAAAAACTCGAATACCAACTCTTGAAGCATAAATCTCCAAAAACAACTTCATCGATATTTCTTTCCTTTTGTTCATCTTTTTCTTCATCATTCTCTTTCTCGTCAACATTCTTCGCCGTATCCACCTCCGTCCCAGTACTTCCGCCACTTCTATTTTCAGAAGGTGAACTTCTTTCTCCAACATCAACCTCAGCCAGACTTCCATGATGCTCATTGTCGCCTGCTTCAGCAGGGGGCGAAGGTAATGAGTTCTCCATGCTGACTGTAACATCCCTTTCCCTGGTTCTTTCCCTTGGTGTTTCCATCTCTCCAGTTCCGGTAACAGTAATCGAACCATTAACCCGACTCGTTGTGCTGATTCTTCTGCGTTTGGGGGTATTTGTATCCTCTTGATCTTGGGTAGAACACATTGGACCAATCGTTATTCCATTCGTTCCATTCGCCATATTTCCACCGTTTATGGTATTCCAATCCTCGCCCCCTTGTCCCTCTTCTTCCCCTTCTCCCTCAATCTCACGCGCGTGTTTCTTTCCTTGCGGATGCGGACTTCTCGTAATACCAAATTCCGCCAATCCTCTTTGCCGTTTCTCTCCAGAGCCAGTGCTTGTTCTTCCACCAGTACTTGTTCTTCCTCCACTGACCCTCCTACTACCCTCGACCTCAGCACCATCCTTATCAACCATCATTGTAGTAGTAGTTGTCGTCGTGGTTCGTATTGTCATTGTATTTGGTGAACCATTTGTATTTGTATTTGTATTTGTATTTGCGTTTGGCTCGGGATTTGAATTGGAATGCGCATCGCGTGAGCTTGCTCTATGTGAGCGCTTTCGGAGGGTTCGTGGTGGCATCGTATCGTTTTTTCTCCGATATATGGTTGAAAGGGGGAGGGGGGTTTGATAGCTTGGAGGCCCCTGGTGGTAAGGTCGGATTCTGAAATCCACCACACTCAAATTTGTTAATTGAGTTCTGAATTTGGAGATTGAATTGTAGTCCAATTATATCCTTGGTAGTATATCGTAATTGTAAGAAACAACTCTCGCTGTGATTGCGTGGAAATATCGTCGCTGTTGCCGTCCTTGCAATGGATTGAATCACAATTCTTCTTGTGGTGTAATTTGGTAGAAACTCCTGCTTGTTTTCCCCAGCAGATTGATTGTTGCAAATCTGAGATGATTAAACCTATCTGCAGTAATAATCACCAACGTCAATTAGTACGCGCTGCGTCAATATTTGTTCGTTTTATTTGTGACGGGGTAGATTTGTATTCGTCGACTGCTACGCTTGTAATGTAATGTTCAAGCTCTCGATTACAGCTGCCAATTTTATAGTTATTATGGGAAAATTGAACTTCCGTCCTATTTTCTACTACCGTATCTTTTTCTAGCGGTATGATTGAAATTTCCTCTTCCTCTTCCTTCGTTCAAAATTCCTTTTCTGCAAGTGAATTGTTCACTATATAAATTCTCCCAGATTCAATGATCGCGTCGAAGTTGTTTTAAGAATGTTTACATCACCGCACCGCGACAAGGCTTCTATGTCCACAAGGCTCTCCACCAGAAGCTGCAAGGCTACCTTATATATTTTATCCACCCACATCCACACCCACATCGTCCACATACCTTGTCCAGTCCAAAGCTCTGCATATCACCGTGCAAATAGTTGTTAAACACATCACACATCATCATCATCATTACGGTAACCACAAATCATAAATAGTAGCTCTCTCTCAAAATATGTATCGCATCAAAAAGATTGTCATTGTACAAAAATAACACTTCTAATCATTAACCCCCGGCCAGCATCTGCATAGATATTGTACGTCCAAATGCGTCGCCTCGCATGCAAATAAAGTTCAGTCAAGGTGTGAAAAGTAAAAAAAAACTAATGTAGCAGTGGAATTTCCTTCATTTCATGGTCCAATTATCAACCTCCAACCATCTGTATGTCGTAGATTGTAATCTTCTCAATTCCTGGAAAGAAATCCCAGATTGGGAACGAGATAATAGTAGCAAAACAAGTTCTGGTAGAAGTGTATGAAGTGCCACCAAACCAATTCTCTCCCTTCCCTCCACCATCTTATGCTACAAGTTGCATTCGCATTCGGGTTTGTATACATTTTCGAAAGCCTTCCATTCCGCTCCTCAAGTCTCATCTTACATGCCTTCGAAGTCTCCGCCAAGGTCATCTTCATCCAAATCACCATCTTGAATTTCTTTTGCCATTTCGCGTTCGCGTTCTCTTGCTTCTTGAGCATTCTTGAGTTCCAATCGATGTTGATTCATTGGGAATCTCATAGCCTGTGGTAATACGAATTAGTATATAATATATACTACAGTAAGATAAGAGAAGAAAACATACCTTAACACTCTCATCATGGAGAGCAAGACAAGCACGGATACGATCATGGAATGCTTCACCAGGCTCCCTGGTAGCATAGACATCCCCAACTTCCTTACTCTTCATGAATCCCTTCTCACGATCCAAAGTTGCCTCAATGACACCATCACGAATTGCCTTTGCAACGATATATTCCGCGGATTCCTCACTGTTGAGCTTCAGGCGTATGCAGATATCTCGGAGAGAGATCCTTGAGTAGGACAAGGACATCATTCGAATACCGGTTTTGATGACATTTTGTCGTAGACGAAGGATCAAGGTATAAGTACCATCACGTCTAAAAGTCTCCGCATGTTGAGTAATCACAGCCTCGAATTCCGCAATCAACCCTACTCGAACTGCTTGAACGAGATTAAGATATGGTTGCAAAGCACGCTCGAGACTAGCGATTCTGAACGTTGCACGATCAGGAATATCTCCCATCAACAACTCAACCACAAGAAGTAACTTCGTTGCAGTTTGTGAGAATCCTGCCGCACTTGGACTCGAAGGAGCTTTGCGAGTTGCGGCTGTCAAATGTTCATGAGCCTCAGTGTATCTCAATTGAATGGCCCTGATTCGTCCCAGGTAGTACAAATATCTTGCAACTTGGTTGTTGGAGGCGCTTTCGGGGAATTTGGTATGCGAGATGAGAAGATCAGCTTGGGTGATATGGGAGGTTGATAGATAATTTCGTAAAAGAAGTACGATAACAGTTGATTGAGTATCGATATCTTTGCGTAGAACAGCAGTCCGTAAGCCAGAAAGAAGAGCTGGTCGAATAGCGACAATTGGAGAAGCTGGAGAAGGTGGAAGTGGTGCCAACTGTTCAGCGAACAAAGACCAGTAAAAGTAGACGCGAGCGGAGAGAGAATCCAGTGTTCGGCGGTTGAGTCCATGAATGACTGTTGTAACATGCTTGGAAAGTGTAAAGCCCTTCTCATTCATCTTATTATCGAGGAAGAAGATTTGTACGAGGATACTGAGGAAAATATCAATCTCCGGAATGATTTCTTTTGGTTCTTTCTTCCCGTTTTTGGAAGATTTCGAATCAGAATCGACTTCCATCTCACTTGATGATGCCTTGTTAAATGTGGCATTATCTCTGTCAATGCCTATGAGTAAGGCCTTTGCTTGTTGAGTTGCTGTAGGGTAAGTTTCCGTAATAACTTGCGCCAGAATGTCAGCCGTAAGATGTTTTCGAATAGAGGAGATAGATCTGAGGGCTCGGAGTGTGTATCTAGCATCAAACAAAGCAACAGCTTTCTCTAATAATGGAAAATTGCTCTTGATATCTGCGACAAGAAGTGAAATGTTAGCTTTTGTTGGTGGATAGAATCTTACATATGTTGGGTGATTGCTTGACTTACCTGCAACAGCCTTGGCCACTGGATCAACCTTCTCAACACCTGCGCCTTCTTCGCCCTCCGCAGAGCCATCCATAGCTACATCTCCATCGCCATCTTTCGGAGGAGGAGCTGATAATTTAGAGCTCTTTGATGCTGGTACGACAACTGTCATCTCCTCCTCGCCTTCCTTGGTCTTCTTTCCCTTTCCACCTTTCAATGAGGTCTTTGCATCATCCTTCTTCGTGCCGTTGATGCCATTTTCGACTGGATCTGTACCCTTTTTGTATGGTGTTTTGCCAGGCATAACTGCGAAATAAAGAAGATATTTGAAGGTTGACGTCGCCCTTTTGTAAACCTAGACTGGTGGGTGGTAGAGCTAAGGTACTTTTCTTCAAGTCGCGTTGGATGATTTTAAAAGTGATATAGTCGGTCTCTTATTCACAGAAAATATCTCTGTGAGTATAAGGTATCACAGGAGTTTGAAAGGGTTATTGATTAAAAAGGGTGTTATGTAGTTGAGTTGTCAATGGTTGTTATAGCTGTCGTTCACATCTTGGATTACCTTTACAACATCAAAGCTCAAGATTATTACGGCTGCATTTAGCGACCTTTGATGCTGTTTTAACGCGAGTCATCGGGTGCCTGGGGAGCTGGGCGACTGCAAGCTGGCGAAAGAACCCAGCTAATGTGGAACACCGAAAAAATGGCTTTTTAAGCAGGATGTATCATTGAAGAAGTTTGACGTTCATAATACCAAGTGATTATTTGCAATCACGACCGTATATACCAATGTTTCTCAATGAAAGCTTCACAATAACTTCAATGACTAACCCATCACCCACCCATCCTGATATCAAACCAAGACCCTAATCTCGTATCAGCCGCCAACCTAAAGCACGAGATCACATCTGAATCACGTGCCAACACAGGACATCACTCGGGTCCTTGACGAGGCTTGGGAACGAATGAGGAGCGAATTTTGCACGTCAATGAACGAGGCCAGTAGATTACCGTAGTAAATACTCTCGCCAGGATAGATTAGTACTTGGTAGACAGAGCTGTACTTAGGTAGGTAAAACGCGACATTAATTTCTTTGTGGAGGTCATTGTAATTTGGAATAAGATCTAATCGAAAAATCTGCAATTTAGGCCTGTGGCAGAGGACGGCGATGGATTCATTATTGAAGTCACATTATCATAATCATAGACACCACATCGTAGTGAACTTGTATTAAGATTAATGAAGTGTCATAGTAATTAGGAAGTACCTTGGTATCTTAGTACCTATCTTAGAAGACTGCCACTTATTACCCGGAGAGAACACAGATGATGATCTCAAAACATCATGATACCACTCCCCCAACGCCAACGACAGCCCATGCCATATGCACATCAATTTAAGATGAATAGCCCAACACCAATCATCATTCATCCCATGCCCTGATAGTATAGTGACCCCTAAGAAAATTATCCCGATTCATATCCGTAATTATCATTTTCCTTTTCGTCAATTTCAATGACCATTGCGAAGTGATGTAGACATATCGGACATCCTGATAGCTTGAAAACAACGCCTTCTCAAATTATGGACAACACCTTTAATCACTACCCTTTCCACCCGTGACCTTTGCAGCTTGAACGGCGCTCATCTTGTTGATCCATCCAGAGCTTGGTGCAATCTTACGGACGGTTCGAATTTCATCACTGGCGTAACCTGGGATACGAATATTGTAACCGCGCTCGAGAGTGAGTTGAATGTCGCGGATTTCCAGAATTTTTGAACCACGTTCCTTGGCATTCTTACACGCGGCTTGAAGAACTTGATCGACGAAGTTGTCGGCCACTGTAAGAATGGACTAGTAGATCTTGTTAGTTTATGTTAATTTCAGCCCATTCGGAGGCATGGAGTATTATATATTCGCGACAGGGGTCATAAGAACGAGCTTGCAAATCATCGTAATGGGAATACAGGGAAAATTTCATACCTCTTCAACTTCAGCAGTCAGACCGCCACCTGCAATATTCTCTCCGCCACCAGTAACTTGTCTAACAAGCTCATCTAATTTCTTCTTACTCAAAACGCGGTCACCCTCGCCATCCAGGACGTAACCTGGAGTTTTGGCTATAACTGGTTGGCCCATAACTCCGTTACCAGCACCTGATGGACCACCAGTAAATGAAGGACGTGATTGGCCCATTTGGACAGGTTGTGGGGGTGCGATTGCTCTTTCTGGCAAATGTTTTGGAATTGGAAGTTTTGTTGAGCTTGGATTTTGTTGTTCCCTGGGCATAGTATTAGGGTGAGTATGCGAGTGACCCATGACCGTATTAGGTGTGGTCGTTTGACCACCCGCGCTGGAATAACTTTGAGCCGCAGTTTGTAATGCCGCTTGATGAGTTAAAGCTCTTGGGGGTCCAGGTGGGTGTGGTGCATTGATAGAGTTGGCTGATTGAGGAATGGCCGATTGAGGAGAATTTGTTTGACCCGGACGTTGCTGATTATTTTGCATTTGAGTAATGGCGGTGTTGATCGGAGCTGGCATTGTTGGTTCCGTTTTGATACCTTGCGCCTGCCCAGGTTGAGATTGAGGCATGGTTGGATGGGTAGGTACGTTTGGCGTAGGAACTTGGGGACCTTGGGATGGCTGTCCTTGTGGCCCAGGAGGTCGATTACCACCACCCATTTGTTGGTTACGAGCTTGTTCAATAGCAGCATTGACAGTCTGAGTATTCTGTAATGCTGGGTTTGGTGGCTGCGGCATATTCATAGGTGGCCTGGGTGCTCCTTGTGTTTGATTCATTTGGGTGGTACCTTGAGCTCCTTGGGTACCCTGGCTTGCAGTAACATCTGCATTTCCATTCCCATTCGCATTTGTATTGGATGGCCCAGGTGCAGGAGCTTGTGGTTGTTGAGGATGCTGAGTTTGGCCTTGATGAGCGTTTCCTGCTGTGATACGTTTCTGGTTCTCTCTAATCTCATCCACGAACTTCTTGGCCATGTGATGTTGTTTTTTAACCTCTGCTAATCTTGTCTGATGGTCTGCTTCATCTTGTTCCGTTGCGGTACCTTCTTCTCTTTTCTTTCTCATATAATCTTCCATACCCTTTGCCTGTATATTTGTCTTTTCCATCTGCATCAAGCCCTTTGCATACTTGTTCTTCATATCTGCCATCCATTTAGTCCATTCTGGTGATTGCGGGGTTAAGTGTTGTGGGGCATGCCACGGAAATGTTCTGACGTGCTGCAGAATCTTCTCTGGCATTTGAGGATTAATCTGAGGCCTTGCTTGCTGTTGAGAAGAAGTTCCAGCATTGGAACTAGTAGCTTGATTATCCTGTGACTGTGTGGCTTGTTCCTGCTGTTGGGGAGCTGGTTCTTGCTGAGGTGCCTCATTCGATGGAGCTGTCGTGGGTTGTGGTGCTTGTTGCGCCTGTGGGCTTCGCTGATTCTGTTGCTGAGTCTGTTGTTGATTCACTTGATTTTGTTGAACCTGCTGAGTTTGCGCCTGGTTTGGCTGATTCTGCTGACTCTGCTGATTTTGTTGATTCTGCTGGGCTTGTATCTGGCGCTGTTGCTGCTGTGTGCGAAATTGCACTATCCTGGATGATACTGACTTCGAAAACTCAACCAATTTCCGCTTGGCGTCTTGATGTGCTGATGATTCAAGAGGATTATTTTCAACATGAGCCCAAAGTCCTTTCAATCCTTGCTCCCATTTGGCTTTCTCCTCTTCTGTAAAAACATTCGCAGGTAGTTGGCGCATCATTTCGGGCTTAAACAATGTCTGCGGTCGTTGCGAAGTCGCAGGCTTCTCATGACCTGGAAAGAAAGTATTCATTTTGTGAGATTTTGACAAATGATTTGAAGGATTTAAATAATAACACTAAAGGCCGTTAATATTGGTTAATACCACATATGTTCTTCTGTAAGAGGTCGTTAAATGTCTGATAAATTCAAATTTTGGTGGTTATATGATGAGGTAAGGTAGACATTGTAGATGGATTTATAGATCCCACTCGGAAGCGCTAATAGATATAGTCCAAGCGCCCAGTCTAAGTCTTTTGCCAGTACACATTTATTGAGCCTTGCACCAACCAGAGCCAGCCTATATATTTTCCCATGGGGAACATCAGATGGACATCTACAATGTAGGTACATATTGAAACTTCTCGGAGACACTTTTCATTGGTTTATGGATCAGCTCATTGGGGATTACAATTTGTCACTGTAAATCTATAAGAATTTCTAATTGAATCTACCAACTCTTGTTGCCTCATGCATTCTGTGTTCGTTGTTGTTAATTATAGTACTCCTCTCACCTACTTTTCCTTCTTGAAATTGTTCAAATTTTGACAGATAGATATCACCATTTGATTACTTCTTCATCCAGTCTATTAGAATTAGATATTTACAAACTGCACTTGTTGATCCAAGGAGATCCACTGTATCAACTCATTGTTCATACCTAGGTAGGAATAGGTACTTACTATGAAAATTTTCTTATTGACTTCTTTCTAACATGTAACTTATCTCATAGGCAAATTTAAGTATCTAAAATCTTCAAAATACGTGTTTGGCTACCTTTATCACACTGTTCTGGACGAGAAGCTAGATATCAACTACTGACTGTCAGGCCAAACATGGCAGCTTGGTGATGACGATATTTCCAGATCTGGATTTCAATATCTAATTCTCAATTCCTCAAATGTGTAGATGATACAAAGTGCAAAGTCTTAACAACTTCTACTTCAATGTCAGATCCCAGATCCTCAAAAGATCTATACCCCAATACAACCACATACTGTGGCCTAGGGTTTTCATATCGATAAAAGGTATACCTATTTGTAATCTCCTATATCTTTTGCCATGACCGTTTCGTCCTCTCCCCACCCAGTCTATAAAACAAACCCCGAGACCATGAGTTTCAGTCCGGATTCCGGGCTCTATTGGCCGGTACTGCTATCCTTACATCCGCTATGCAATGCAATGTTTGATGAATGAATAATGGACCAAACGTAAGAAAAAATCCACTCAGTGATAAGTCTCTCGCTCAAAAATGTAGAGAATAATATGCTACCGTCATATATATTATGCCTCCATGCAATGAAATGCCGCCTTGTTCATAATTCATTAATTCGTCACCCCCTTTTTATATCCATACTCGCCGATCTGCACACCTTCATCATCCTTCATTTAACAATGTTTATGCCCCTGAAGTCCTGTTACTTTCAAGAAGAAGAGTCGATATCCATAGATTCATCCAAGATGTAATATGGCAATTCTCTTAAGTCGTCCAATTCTGT